CGACTTATGGCACTGGTAAATGTAAACGCAGAATGAACAAGGTGGTATTACGGAGTTGACAACCCTTTTAATACATTCACTTCTGTGTGATAAAAACGCTAGGATCGGTGCATGTGTACTACTGGTGAGCTAAAAAGAGTGAAAATTGAACCTAGTGTTTCCCGAATGTATCCATAGCTGATTAGACGGACAGAAACTGGGTGTATGAGTATGAGGTCCGTGTGATGGTCGGTTGAAATCAAGATAATTTACCACTTACTACCACTAGCAAGTAACTGAAGGTAAAATGTGTTTGCGTGTTACAAAAATGCAAATAAAAAGCATACCGGGTTGTGTGGCTGAGGATGGTCGACTGAAGCCCAATGTGGATTGCTCCGAACCCAAATCTGAGCGATCACTGGACCCGAAAGGATCAAACGGTGGGGCACGATGCGTCGGACTGAATGTGGCCGATGGTCGACTGGTGGTGGCCAAAGATAAGGCAGAGCGAAGCTGTCCTGCATTGACCACCGATTCTGACGGATATCGATGTCTCTGTCTGACCGATGTGGACGTTCGTGCTGGTGGAGAATCGGTGTTCAGAATAAGCTGATCCATCATGAAACCAGGCCAATCGATCGGACTGCCTGTTGTCGGTGCAGTACTATGGTCGTCAGACCAGAATGGGTTACTTTCCAGACTCAACTGATCCCGCAATCCAGAGTCCTCAGCCATGGTGGTTAGAGATGATGCGTCTGGACCGTCTAGGGTGCGAAGAGAGTGATACATGACAGGAGCCGGGAGTACACGAAACGGTAACTGCAAGACCTCTGTTCGAACCTCCGTGTTCGTTCCTGACAGAGTCAGTTGAACACATATGAGAATTTTGTAAGCCGCTTTGAATAAGTGTCCACGAACGCTGGGCGGCAATTGAGCGAAAATGGGAGAGGACAACCGAATGCCTGGAAGCCCATCGAATGAAATCACAATGATAAAATAAGGGACCAATAGAACATAATGTAAAAAAACAGGATGTGAGCCAAACAAACGAGAGTAAAAAAAGAGATTGATGTATGCACAAAAATAATGCAAGGTAGTTGTGATTGTGGCATCTGAAAAAGCTACGCATCTCAATTTCTTCATTTTGATCTTATTTCTCCACGTCTATTATTTTACTCTAACTTCTGTGTGATGAACATCAGAGGGGGGAAACCTCATGGTCACGAAGACTTGCTATTCAATTGTGTAAACTGGCAACGTGAACCCCGGGACTTGGAGTGGCGAATCAAATAAAGCTCCAAAAGGTTAGATATGGTATTGAGCCGGACGACAGAGAAAATCCCAACAACAAAATTTGGTTGCTAGTGGTGGGGTCTAAACTTCGAACCGTATGGTCCAAAGCACGTCGATCGCAGCGAATTAAACCACTTGTCTATCACCACCCAACACTATGCCATATTTATCAGCAAATACTAATTTAATCAATACTTTCTTGAACGTCAATTATTCAACAAGAAAGGATAACTAAAACATTAAAAGGATCAATGACAACAGCGAAAATATGTGCGCTGGCAACAAAAATCCTGACACTGCACGACCTAAAATCGAAGTATTTGTAACTTAGTCAACGCGAATGAAAACCACATTACTGAGGGGCAATCTTCAAACAGTTTCAGTTTGAACAACCATTAACCATGCAATTTCGTGCGCCGGTTTTGGTTGCTGTCTTTTGGCTGCCCATTGGGATGAAGAATAGGAGAAGAAAGGAAAGTTGAAAGTGGATTCGAAAGGAAAATGGAGAAG